ATATCCAAGGCAGGTGTCATTGAGCCACTTCTTGAAATACACAGCCATTTCGGATTATGCCACCAATGGCGAAGACCCCCAGGGTTTGGTGTTGTACTCAAAACTGAGCACTTGATGGTGTTGTCCCTTGCACCTGATTGGCCCCAGGTTCCACCAGCAGGCATTCAAAACAGTAACCTTTGTTTTTAGGCAATCCATGAATTGGTTCATCAATTTGCGGCCCATTTTTCTCTCCCTCCTGGGTGAAGATTTTCTGATTGTGGAGTTCCTTGTAGCCTTGCTGTGGATTTGGGCTTTAAAGGGGGCACAGTGCGACATTCCAGGTCTTCCCATTGATGGGGTTCATTTATTGCGGCCTTCTGTCGATCACACGTAAAATTCAGCCATCCCCAGGTGACCTCCAGGTATCGAATAACCATGTGACATCTGACCAGGAAGAAAGGGCCTGACTCTTCAACTTCACTTTCCCAAGTGAGTATGCTGATGTTCCCTGGGTAGGGCATGCATTTCTGGTTGTAATATTTTGTGGGCTGCTGTCCTCTGACTTGGATCCAATTTTCCCATACTTCTCTGGTTTCCAAATTTCCATGTTGGGTCTCATTGTCCTTCCGCCCAGTGTAGCAGGTCTGATTGTAGACTTTAGTGGTCCGATAGGCAATGTGAAGATGATGTTGGTCCCATAGGTCAAGTCCAACAAAATAGTGTTGCTGTAGCAAGCAAGTGAGTGAAAAAAGTAACTTCATTTTCCATCCCAGCTTGAACTCTCCTTCTCACCCTCGGCTTCTGCACAAAGGAGGGTGCTCTCACAGTTTATTATTTGTTCCATGGCTCCTCCCCTCTACTTCCTCTTCCTGACTTTGCCGCCCTCAACAGCCATTCAGTCAACACCTTGTCGCACTGCTTCATCTCCTGCATCTGCGTAAACCCCTTGGGCAGAGGCTCCAAAGCTGACTACTTCTTTTCCTGCAAAGACTAATCCACAAGGGTCCTCAGTACTTCGAAGTCCCAGCTTTCCTTCCTTGAACCACACAGAGGTTATTCCTTTTTGTATCCTCTTAATACTAAGAGGTTGTTCATAGCTGGAGCTTCTTTTTGCTTCCTCATCTGCAGAGTCAAGCACACAGACTCAAAACAGCAGATTAACAATTGTCATTCAACTTTTTCACTTATTAGCCACATCAGAGAGAGCTCAACACAAAGTCATATTTTTAAGTTGGCATCGTACCCACCCGGGGGGCACCATGTATGAAGGCCAAGATATGCTAACCCCTGGACATAGGAATAAAGCTTAACCTCTCACACTAGGGTGGCATATTTGAAACATTAAAGCTACAAACACTGCTTGAGGTTTTTTGGTGGAGATATTCACTCAGTAACTGACTACCATGAACCTGCAAACGGAGTTCCCTGCAGACCTCCCTCTTACATGTTATTAATTCAGGATAACACCCCAAAACTTCCCAAATAATAGCAACCTGCAGTTATAGGCAGCTGCCTCCTTTATACCCTCAGATGTTATTGTACTGAGAAATTTTTATAAACCAGTATACTCTGGCCCTTTGAGGAAGTGTTACACTTTGCCTGAAATAACCATTAAAAGCTGTGACACTGGCCACTTAAGTCTACATTTGCTATGCACAGTATTTAGTTGACATAAGATGTTAAGGATAGGAAATTGAAAGGATAGTGTATATTATGTAATAAGTAAACAGCTGGATAGTTTAAAATATTTTCTGATATAACTCTAGAAATCATTTTAGCAGTTCAGTGTTGGCCTACTGTCAGCCCTGTGAACTGTTGTGTAATATCAAACACTCATGGTGAATTGTTGTATAATGTCAAACACTTAATGTTTGTGTGCCTTAACCATTACCAGGTGTAATCCCCCTAAAATCATAAGAATGTCAGTAACATCCAAATTGACTCAATAAAGACAGTGTATTAAACCTTTTCAGGAATTTTATATACAAGTTTAAGAAAGGTACAGCACAGCAGCAAGATATAGCATTAAAATGATCAATAATTGTCTCGACTGGCTTACAATTTATATAACTATTTCTAAACAATCTAAAATTATTATACTGATTAAAAACATTATAATTGGCTGAGCTCTTGATCTGAATAAAAGTCAAAGGTGTTCTCACTGAATCCTGGTCTCAGTTGGATCAAGGTGGGTGGATTGTGGCATTCTGTTGAAAATCTTCATTTCAGGGTAAATCATCTTTTAGGCAAAAATTTCTTATAAATCTGTTTTAGGCAAAAATTCATTGTCCTTGCTGAATCATGAAGCTTTGGCACAGTTCAGTGTCCCACACTGACATCCCGCTCTCCATAGCGGCTCTATTGGTGGTTTCATCCATCTCCCCCCCACAGGCCAAGCACCAGTCTGCTGGACTGCCCCTCTGTAGTCTCTCGGTCCTCTGGAAGTCAGACAATCAACCGGACAGAGCCTCTGGCTGCAACAGTGAAGGAGGACTCTTGTCCATATTTGCCAGTTTTTTTTAAAGGATTCTGGTCAGTAGAATTAGTTCTTCCTTCCAACCAGATGCCACAGTTTGCACTTAATACCTTTTTTGGCATGCACAATGTTGTTCTTCAGAACTCGTTTGCATATTGTGTACTTGTCAGTGTTCAGTATTTCTTGTGACTGCTCATGACTGCTTTTGACCAGTTGACCAACTTCCCCTTCAGTGATTTAGCAGTTTAACTTCTCTTCTCTCAGAAAACTAAATCATCCTAACCCAATAAAAATACAGAAAACTCACATCTGATTGAAATACAAAGAATCCCATCATCACATTTAACTAAACCATCAGAATTGCACACTGTTAAACAAAAACTATCAATGCCTTAAAATTAAACCATAGATCACTATATTTTGACTGCAACACTTGATTAGACATTGATCAAACAATTATCAATCAAATCTTTATGCATCAAACCACTTTTTTACTTAATAAATTCAGTGTCTCTTTTCTCTTTCTCTGTCACACACACACACACACCCCTGCACTTCCTCTTTTGTATGGATATTTGTCTTCCCCTTTTCTCTGAGAGTCAGAATTTTTTCACTGATTTAGATTCTGAATGTACTTGAAACTAGGGGTGCACCGAAATTTCGGCCGCCGAAAATTTTCGGCCGAAAAGGCCATTTTTATTTTGGGCCGGAATAAAAAAAACTCTCCGAAAATGCCCCGCCCATCATATCCTGGCGCAGCACAGGTTAGGTTTCACTCACGCTGGAGCTGTTATATCACGCGTCTCCC